TCATTAATGTGCTGTGTAGTGTGAAATTCCTTTGTCTGGCTTAGTAAATATTGCAGCATATCCAGACTAAGAACAAAATTGTCATATATTGTAGCCTGCCAGTCCTTAGAAGAGGCGGCTGCATTCCCTTTTCCCTTTATTTGCACCTGGTGATCCTGCCAGTAACACATTCTGTTCTAGGGTGACAACGCTCACCTACTGCACTGTAACTATGGAGAAGTAGCGTTGCCACCCTGGGGAGGCGTGTTCTGTAGTCCAGATACAAGCTAGGCATAATGTAGCCCATAATAATCAGCACTAGGGATGAGTCCGAGTTCAGTCTGATCCTGAGCTCCTGTGAGCAAGGAAGTGCTATGGGCATTTCCACCCAATCAGTAACACATTCTGTTCTAGGGTGACAACTAGGGATGCACCGTTACCGATATTAGTATCGGTGCCGATGCCAAGTATTTGGGCGAGTACTCATACTTGCCCAAATTCTCCGATGCCTAGCCCGATACTTCCAGTATCAGGCAGCCGGCTCCATGCTCTCTCGTCACTTGGAGCCATCTTTCTGGCCAATCAGGAAGCCGGGTGCCGTGCAATGATGCGCTACCCGGCTTCCTGATTGGTTGGAAGCTGGCCATTTAGGAAGCCAGGCGCTGTGTAATGACGCGGAACCCGGCTTTCTGATTGGTCGGGAAGCCGGCTTCATGCTTTCTCATCACCTCATGACGAGGGAGCATGGAGCCGGATTCCCGGCCAATCAGGAAGCCTATAGTCCACAGACAAGCTAAGGCACAATGTAACCCATAATAGTCAGCACTAAGGATGAGTCCGAGTTCAATCCAAACCTGAGATTCTCTGAGCAAGGAAGTGCTATGGGCATTTCCACCCAATCAGCTGCATGCCGGGCATTCCCCACCCCAAAGCTGCATGTAAACAAAGGGGCGTGTTTCTGGCGGTGATGTAATTTACCTTATATGGCCTTATAGCCATATTAGGTAAATGTAAGTTACCAAATATAGGCATGTAGCCAAAGAAGGTCAGTGATGTCACTACATTCCGTCCCTTTGCTTACATCATGCTGCGGTTGGGGAATTCCCCGCCTACAGCTGATTGGGTGTCACAGAAGGAGCACAGTCCAAACTTCAGCTCATCCCTATTTACTGAGTCCGAGTTCAGTCCAAACCTGAGCTCCTCTGAGCAAGGAAGTGCTATGGGCATTTCCACCCAATCAGTAACCCATTCTGTTCTAGGGTGACAACGCTCACTTACTGTACTGTATCTATGGAGAAGTAGCATTGCCACCCTACAGAGGCCTGTTCTGTAGTCCACAGACAAGCTAGGCACAATGTAACCCATAATAGTCAGCACTAGGGAAATACTCCTGACAGCTACAATAAAAACAAGAACATTGTATCATAATTATCATTATTAATTATGATTTCTATAGCACCATCATCTCCTGTTGCGCTGTACAAACTGAACGGATCCTAAATTTCCATATATGAAGCATTATGAGAAGACAAGTACATATAGTCACATGTCCAGAGACATATCACACTAAACTGATAACGAAGGGAGTGCCCAAGAGCTAACAATCTGGAATATATGTGTATATCAGAGCTTCCACAACAACCTAGTCCAGCAGGTACACACACTGCTCCTGATCCCTACCACTGATCTCCAAATATTACAAATAGAAGTATACCCCGAACTGGACGATATTTTGTTTGGCAGAGCATTGCGTATCATAAACTATTTACTGTTTTTAAATAAAATACTCGTTTTTATGGGTTTTTTCATCTCAGTGCTCCTGCAGCAAGGTGTAGCCATTTCCTGTCTCCACGCACTCCAGCACTGGCTGTACATCATTGCTGCGGACTGAACAAGTGTCCCCATTGGAAGATTTTCCCTCAGCTCCTGTGACACTGCGACCAACAGAGAGGGTGAATCTTCCCAGCGGGGACACAGATGGCAATAAGACCTGAGACTTTTTTCTATACTTTTTCTTCTTCCTCCTTCAGCTGTGGCGGCCATTCTTCCAGGGCCCTGCTGGGTAGGGGGTATAAGTGTTGCTCTGCCTTAAGAGGACTGCCAGCACCGGGCGGAGGAGGATGCCAAGGACAGCATGGCGTGTGCAGCGGGTACATAGAAATTGGCAATATATTTTTTTATATGGAGGGGTATCAAGAATGCAATAAATAAATAAATATTGGAATCCCAACACTTCCTCACTCTATTCAAAACTATGATTTACACACCATTCCAAGGGATTGAATCATTGAAGTGTATGCAAACTTTCAGGGGTTGGGTTAGATCTACTAAGCCTGCACAAGATGTCACTGAATATCATTTAAAGAAGAACTCCAGTATGCAAAAGGTTAATCCTTGTAGTGAGGGGGTAGCCCCCATTGCAAGAGTTAACTTTTTGCATACCTGGAGATAACTGCTCATTATGGTCCAGGGGCCGGTGTACAGAAGATACACTCACCTGATCCTCGGCCCTGCAGTGGTGAGTGCTCACCCGCACACACTTGAAGGGTTATTAAAGTATTGATATGTTTATTCAATACCCAATGTCACATACTGTCATACGGTGCTAACGTTTCGGGTCCGCACAGGGATCCCTGTTGCTCTGATGAAGGATCCCTGTCGCCCTGATGAAGGATCCCTGTCGCTCTGATGAAGGATCCCTGTCGCTCTGATTAAGGATCCCTGTCGCCCTGATGAAGGATCCCAGTCGCTCTGATGAAGGATCCCTGTCGCCCTGATGAAGGATCCCTGTCGCCCTGATGAAGGATCCCTGTCGCTCTGATGAAGGATCCCTGTCGCCCTGATGAAGGATCCCTGTCGCTCTGATGAAGGATCCCTGTCGCTGTGATGAAGGATCCCTGGCGCCCTGATGAAGGATCCCTGTCGCCCTGATGAAGGATCCCAGTCGCTCTGATGAAGGATCCCTGTCGCCCTGATGAAGGATCCCTGTCGCCCTGATGAAGGATCCCTGTCGCTCTGATGAAGGATCCCTGTGCGGACCCGAAACGTTAGCACCGTATGACAGTGTGTGACATTGGGTATTGAATAAACACATCAATACTTTAAGAACCCTTCAAGTGTGTGCGCGGGTGAATTACTTTTATTCACTATTAGTGTTTTGCACGGCGCCATCCGTGGGGTCACCTGGGCACCACATATACCTTGTGGTTTTGAGACCGTGGCAGTGCGAATGGGATTTGGACTTTGTTGTGAGTGCTCACCTCTCTCCGCAGCTCTCAGGTGTGGTATGTCCCTCAGGATCCTCATGCCCAATACAGGTGAATGGACTGTATTGGACGCGATGATGTCATGGGTCCTTAGATCGCTGGAGTCCGGGGGAGAAGAGGCTGCAGCATCCTGGTCTAGCAGCCAGGGGCAGGAGTAAAGAAGATACACTCACCTGATCCTCGGCCCTGCAGTGGTGAGTGCTCACCTCTCTACTTGCTCACCTCTCTCCGCAGCTCTCAGGTGTGGTATGTCCCTCAGGATCCTCATGCCCAATACAGGTGAATGGACTGTATTGGACGTGATGACGTCATGGGTCCTTAGACCGCCGGAGTCCAGGGGACATGAGGCTGCGGGGATGGTCTAGCAGCCAGACGGGACTGAGGATCAGGTGAGTATACCTGATTTTTCCTGAGCCCCTAGACCAAAACGAGCAGGCAACTCTTGCAGCGCAAAAGGTAGCCCCACTGCAAGGGTTAATTTTTTTACATTCCTGGAGTTCCTCTTTAGGTGGTTGTAATAACAAAGGCGGGGGATGGGGGATTGACTGTGTGAGGTCATTTTAGTGTATCTGGTATATGTAAATACATAACTAAAAATAAATATATATAAAATAATAATAATAATGAAAAAAACAAGGTTACTAAATCTAAACATGATCACGCTGGAAGTGAGGAGATTAGGAGGGGACAGGATTTTGATGTACAAGATGTTCAGTGGTGATGACAACATCCGCAATAACCTTTTACTATAAACTCCATAACAAGGACCAGAGGCCACCACCTGAAACTGGTGGAGAAAAGATTTAACCACAAGGGGCGTAGGGACTTGTTCACACCAAATGCAGACCAGATCTGCATGAGTTTCTGCACACGCAGTGCCGCGTTTTTGACGCGTTCTTGCAACAACAAAAAACACTTTTTTTTTTTAAGCTTAGAATGGGCTTTCAGTGCGTTCCAATGTGTTTTGATGCGTTTGCATGCGCTCCAGAGCAGGTAAAATGGGGCCTGCTGCAATTTTTTTACCTGCTCTGGACCTGCACGCTGCGATGTGAACTGGAGCCCAAAATACCATTGGAATACATTGGACGCAGTTTTGATCCGGTCTGTAACTGCTCTGCTCTGCTCCTGCTCCGCGCTTGGTGTGAACTGGCCCTTAGAGCGGTTAGGCTCTGGAACTCGTTGCCACAAGCAGCGGTATCAGCTGAGAGTGTTGAATCATTCAAAATGCATTTGGACAATTTCCTCAGAGACCGCAACATCCAGGGGTACAGGTACTCTTAAGAACCAGATCTACACGAATACACATGCAGAATCACATACATACACACAAAGGTTGAACTTGATGTACCTGTGCCTTCATTCAACCTCAAATACTATGTAATAATAATAATTATTATTATTATTACATTTTTATAAAAATATTATGTAATTGATAAGATAAAATATAATAATAATGAATAATAATATACATATACGCTCCTTGTGACGTCACTCTGTCTTCCCCCCCACTGTGATGTGAAGTGTGCAGGTCACGTGAGGGTGGTGACATTTGGGAAAGGTGTGATGGGGAAAGCCCCACCCCCTTGGGTTCTGGCACTCCGCAGCCTCCTATTGGCTGAGCGCGGTGCAGGGGCAGCAGAGGGAGGTGAGCGTTGAGTGGCCGCACCATTTCTAGACGATCGTCTCCCACTCGCGGCCTCGCTGATCGCTGTCAGCATAGTAAATAGGCGCTGGCGGATTTATGAGCGCGCTGCAATGTCTCAGAGAAGCGCCGCTCCCACTTCGTTCACCATCAGGGACATACTGAACATGGGCTGTGCGGACTGCAAGAGGGGATCGGAGTGCACGAAGGACCCGGAGGATCCCGGGCACTGCCAGACCGAGGTGGGTGCAGAGAGCCCTGTGGATGCCACATCTGATATCTCTGAGGGCGAAATCACCAGCGAGCCACAGAGCCCACACGGGGGGCCACAGCACACAGAGGAGCCCCCCTGGTACAGTGACCAGGAGCCACACTCAGAGGGTGAGTCCCTGGATGGGCACTAGACCTGTCTTGACATCCACAACAACAGCGACCCTATAGAGACAAGGGGCTGATTTACTAAAGGAGAGAATGTTCGCTGAGCTTAGAGACAGAAAACGAAGTTCATTCCAAAGGGAACAAGTGCAAACAATGTTTGTTGCTGTTAAATCTCTTTGCACATGATTGGGCATTCCAAGCGAAACGACTTCGCCCTATTCATTAAGATCCTTTAATAAATCACGTGTCACCTATACTGTAATATGATAATTGTATTATCCCCCCGATGTCATTGTATACCCCAGAGGCAGAGGCTACACCATACACATTGTATCACCATCTATTCTTCTATCGATCATCAGCCCAGAAGGATGGAAAGATTCCCCATTTCCTCACATTCGCCGCAGCGAATCGCAGAATATATTAACATGCATTGCTAGAATTTCATAGCCGACTGAGCCATGGTGGAAATACAGAAAGAAGCGCACACATAGACACGTGCGAGGTACAACAGACACCCACAGACAGAAGTGACATGTAGAGAAGATGACATCAATGTGTTTGTTACTTGTTATCAATCAACTCACTGTAATCATTTTCTGCAATGAATCTCTCTATTCGTTCTCATATTCACCAATCTGAATGTCTGTTATATTTATTTCACATCAGATATACGGAGATGTGTACAGAAATACATCATACATTGTCATATATCCCACTATAAACTATATCATTATAAACGTTTCCTCTACTGAACCTCCATGTGTGGAATATTTCTATCATATTATTATCATTATTATTATTATCAAGTACATTTTTTATTGCAATTTTTATGGCAATAATTGTGTTCCCTATCTGTGTAATGACACATTTGTATCATATGCACTCCATAACTCTCTCTCTCTTTCTTCTTCTTCTACTAATTATTAGTTTCTTACATGATCCCATCACCTGTATAGCTGTCTGACTATAATCTTTGTATCTATTCGCACTTTAATGTATATTCTGTCTGTCTAATGAATATTCGTTATATGTATTCCACAATCTATGGAGATGTTATACAGTACAGAAATATTATGTTTATTATACATGATCACATCATCTATCTCTGTAACTATCGTGTTATGCAAATTAAATCTACTTTATGTATTTTTACGCTAGGTCCGTCTAATAAATATATATTATATTAATATCTATTTCCTCTAATATTTATCATATGTCTATTATATGCAGTAGCCTTTTATACATTACATGTGGGTCTGTTTAGCATGTCCCTCTCGTTTATATCAATATATTGTGTATAAAATTGTGTATCAAATATACGCTATTTTTTATACAGCTTCTGAAATCTATGGTATTAGATGCATCGAGTTATAATTCCTGTCTGTGTATGACCCAGATAGTGTATTTATAATTCTCTATCAATCGTCCTGTGTATGCCATCATTATCTGTGTTATGAATGTTTGAATGTTTACACATTTTATATTGTACATAGTGAAATTAATATAATAGACATAAATTATACATATAAGGACAAGTAGTTATTAAATAGATTTGACTATATATAAGAATCTGTATCCAATAATACGTCCATAAATGAAATGATGACATATAATATATAATAGACAGTTGCACAGGAAATATAAGGATGAGTAGATGTTCGATGAGATCCGATATAAGAATAAACTGATATAATATATTTCCAGTATGTGACATTTCCATTGATTCAGCGTGGAATAAATATCATGGATCTGACAGACAAGGAGAGATAGTCATAGATAGATAGATGGATGGATGGATGGATGGATAAATAGATAGATAGATAGATAGATAGATAGATGATGTGATCACGATGATTTATTTTGTTTATCATAGAACAACTATATAAATGAACTGCGGCCTGGATATTATATTCCAGTCATGTTCTTATCGTATAGATGTAAGATGTAAGGACACACGGTGGTTAGTTAGGTAAAGTATAATAGTTTTATAGTTCTGTACTAAGCATTGTATTGGACCATGATCTAGGACTGATGAGATGGATAATGTTGTGCAATGTGGTCGGTATTGGACCATGATCTAGGACTGATGAGATGGATAATGTTGTGCAATGTGGTCGGTATTGGACCATGATCTAGAACTAATGATCTGGATGTTGGTGTACAATGTATACTCGGTATTGGACCATGATCTAGGACTGATGAGATGGATAATGTTGTGCAATGTATGATAGGCATTGGACAGTGATCTAGAACTAGTGATCTGGATGCTGTTTTACAATATATGATGGGCTTTGGACCATAATCTAGAAATGATGATCTGGATGTTGATGTACACTGTATAGTTGGTATTGGACCATAGTCAAGCACTGATGGTGTGGATGATGGGGTACAGCGTATGTTGGCATTGGGCCCTGATCTAAAACGAATAATCTGTATGCTGGTGTACAATATACCTGGTATTGGACCATGATCTACAACTGATGATGGGCGATGGTGTTCCATGTATAGTTGGGATTGGACCGTGATCTAGAACTGATGATCTGGATGCTGGTGCAATATAATGAGTATGGGATCATGATGTAGCAATGATGATCTGCATATCGATGCACAGTTGGTATTAGACCATGATCTGGAACTGATGATGTATATGATCTTGTACAATGTAGAGTTATGTTTGGACCATGATCTAGAACTGGTGATCTGGATGTTGGTGTACAATGTATAGTTGTGTTTGGACCATGATGTAGAACTGATGATCTGGATGTTGGTGTACGATGTATAGTTGGGATTGGACCATGATGTAGAACTGATGACCTTTATGATGGTGTACAATGTATTGGACCATGATTTAGAACCGATCTGGATGTTGATGTACAATGTATAGTTGGTATTGGACCATAGTGTAGAACTGATGATCTATATGTTGATGTACAGTTTATACTGGGTATTGGACCATGGTGTAGAACTGATGATCTGGATGTTGGTGTACAATATAGTTGGTATTGGACCATGATCTAGAACTAATGGTCATCTGTTTTCTCTGTACAGGGGATTACATGGAGCACAAAGCTGATGAGAAGTCCGGGAAGAAGAGGACCAGGGCTGCCTTCTCCCATGCCCAGGTCTATGAACTGGAGAGAAGGTTCAGCCTTCAGAGATACCTCTCCGGACCAGAGAGGGCTGATCTGGCTGCTGCCCTAAAGCTCACAGAGACCCAGATAAAGATCTGGTTCCAGAACAGGCGATACAAGACCAAGAGGAAGCTGATCGCCAAACAACAGCAAGCGGCCAAAGCCCCGGAGACCCCTGCCAAGCAAGTGGCTGTGAGGGTGCTGGTGAAGGATGACCAGAGACAGTACTGCCCAGAGGAGCTCCTATGCCCATCTCTGCTGTCACTATACCAGGCGTACCAGTATTATCCGTTCCTGTACCGTCTGCCCTCCTGGTCCCCTCACATCTAGCCTTCTGCATGGAACTACAGAGGACTAACCCATTGCATCCAACCCCTCCACAAAGCTACAGGGGGTGAGATGAAGAATCCTGGCGATCATTCCTCTTATTACTGTAGCCTAGTAGCATCCAAGCCTGCCCTGGCCCCAGATACATTGTAAATTCTAAAAGAAGCCAACTAGGCAGAGGCACGCTGCCAACATACACAGGGGCAGCACATGGTCCTTGCTCAGTCCTTCGGTCCCCACATGTATAACATGCGGGAGATAAGAAATGACTACTGTGCGGAACTAAAAGCAAAATATTCCTCAGAGTTCATCCTTTATACAGCCGAGACCAAAGACAAAAACCCTGTGCCCGTCTAGCAACTGGCAGCTCATGCTGGGCACTGCAGCATCGCAAACATTTATTCCATAAATATGATATATAGATATATCTATAGATCTATAGATATATCTATAGATATCTATATATCAGTGTATAGTGGATGGGGTCTTATATTTTATTAGCCTGCCTTGTACTGGGCAGGATGGAGTGCGGCCTGATCTATACAGAATCCCAATGCCTGCCTTGTACTGGGCAGGATGGAGTGCAGGCTGATCTATACAGAATCCCAATGCCTGCCTTGTACTGGGCAGGATGGAGTGCAGGCTGATGTATACAGGATCCCAGTGCCTGCCTTGTACTGGGCAGGATGGAGTGCCGGCTGTTCTATACAGGATCCCAGTGCCTGCCTTGTACTGGACAGGATGGAATGCTGCAGCCGGGTGGATCCCAGTGCCTGCCATTTACTGGGCAGGATGGAATTCTGGATCCTGGTCTATGCAAGATCTCAGTGCTGCCTTGTACCGGGCAGGATGGGATGCAGCCTGGTCTATACAGGATCCCAGTGCCTGCCTTGTACTTGACAGGATGAAATGCTGCAGCCTGGTGGATCCCAGTGCCTGCCTTGTACTGGACAGGATGAAATGCTGCAGCCTGATCTAAGCAAGATCCCAGTGCCTGCTTTGTACTGGGCAGGATAAAGTACATAGCTGTGTGACTTTTCCGTCCCCTGGTTTGTAGTATCAGCATCGTGCTGTGTGTAGTGACTGTGAAGTATGCTGGAAGTGATCTGCAGGGGGTCTCCCTATAGATCACAATGCACTTATTGTAAATATCCTGACTGCTGTTCACCCAGGTAACTTGTAATTTATTAGAATGGTAACTGATCTTTGGCTTTGTAGTCCGAAGTAAAAAAATTTATTCTACCATTTCCGATTTTTTTTTTCTAACAGTGCAAATTCCTATATTCCCGATTCCCCTTCTTCTTATAGCTGCTCTTCGACTTTCACTGACTTTTATCTCTTTTTTTTTCCCACTGATATTTATGTGTTTGGCTACTTTTTGCAGACCATGGGAGTGTGCTTTTTTTTCTAATTTGCAAAAGAGAACTGAAGAACAAGATATGGGGTGTATAGAGTATAGATATCTCCCCCATTTTGTTATTATTATTTGTCTTTAGTTGGTTCTTAGCGAATTACAACAAGGTTGTGTGTGTGTATAATATTATTATAATTTTTTATTATTTTTTTCTACTTA